ATAATTGCTTTTACCGAATAACATGTATTTTCTACAGAAAAAAAACTGGCAGCTGTGGTTACCAGAATAATTCCGTAAAATATACAGCAAAACAATAATTGCTTTTACCGAATAACATGTATTTTCTACAGAAAAAAAACTGGCAGCTGTGGTTACCAGAATAATTCCGTAAAATATACAGCAAAACAATAATTGCTTTTACCGAATAACATGTATTTTCTACAGAAAAAAAACTGGCAGCTGTGGTTACCAGAATAATTCCGTAAAGTATACAGCAAAACAATAATTGCTTTTACCGAATAACATTTATTTTCTACGGAAAAAAACTGGCAGCTGTGGTTACCAGAATAATTTCGTAAAATATACAACAAAACAGTAATTGCTTTTACTGAATAACATGTACATTTTACAGTTTAAACCAGCATATAATACACTGGACTTCTGTTATATTTACTGGTTTATACTGTAAAATTGACATGTTATTCGGTAAAAGCAATTACTGTTTTGTTGTATATTTTACGGAATTATTCTGGTAACCCCAGCTGCCAGTTTTTTTCCGTAAAAACGACGGGATTTTTTTTACAGTGTACTGTACAGTACAAGCAGCTTACCTCTCTGGATACACTGTCTGCGTTTTGGTTACATGTCCATTATGACGCATTGAGATGCCTGTCTGCATATGATGCAGTATTTTATATATATTTTATATATATATATGCCAGAACTACTTGATTAATCTCGATTTTTAAAAAAGAGCTTTATTTAAAGTATTTGTCGCCTTGGTAACTCAGCAAGGAAGATGGTGCATAGAGGATGAGGGTCCGAATAAAGAGGAACAGCCTCCGTCGTGTGAAAGCACTTGTAATGTATGACTGTTCTGGCTAAATCTGAGGCAACTAAAATCCAGTTCATCATGAGGGTGGTAAAAATGGGGTTCTTGTATGTTTCCCCAGTCCTCAGGTGGCCATAGTTCAATCTTCAGAGGCAGTTTTTGAAATCAAAGCGGTTTTCAGTAGGGTCTGGAGGCCTGGAATTTTTCCACAGTCAGTTATACTTCCTCACCATATTAGACCTTTCATTGCATCCCTCTGTTTAGAGTATAACAAACCTGTCATTCCAATGAGTCTAAAGATCAGAAGTGACAGGCTGATGTCACATAATGGCGAAGGAGAACCAGAACCAGAGACAGTACCAGCCTGTAAAGCATGCCAGACGGGTCACGTTCTGTCAAGGGACCTTTCCTCACTGTAAACATGACACTAACCCTTTGCCCAGTCTCCACATCATTGAGTCACTTTCGCACATCATAAAAGCACTGAAGCATTACATCAACCACTGATATCTCAGAGGTGCATTTCATGAACCTTCAGGTATATATTGACAGGGCACAACACAGTGTTACAATTTCTGACAATGGAGGAACAACAGGGACCCCTATTGCCCATTCCTTAACCCCAATGAGGAGCTCTGCTCAGCATGGAGATGGAAGGCTTATGATCGCCAGCCACACGCATAGATGATGCTGCTGACTGCCGTGGATGAGGCACGTGAGGACATCACAGCAGAAGCCTACAGAGGCCACATAAGATGTTCCAAAAGAATCTTTCTTTCAAGGGAAGATGTCTCTTGTGATGTGGATGAGAAACTATGGCCTGCCAAACGGAATCGTCAGGAGGTGTAGAGACACTTCACATTAATTCCCCATACATTGCTGCATGTAAAGTTTCCTATGTTTACATTTATAATTTAGTATTTTTTTCCTTTGTGCTAAGCAGTGCTTTTAGTGCTTTTCTGTAGTGCAATGGCATGATCTGTCAACAAATTACATAGAGTAATGTGTAAAGTTGTACTATTGAAATGATATGCCATGCAGAGAAGGTGCAGCCTTGTGCATTTTCAGTCATTGTCTTCAAATCCTTAGCCATAGTCTGCATCGGAAAATACAGAGTACACTGTTATGTTGACAGTATGGTGAAGCGTTTTTACTACTGTATCTTGTTTGTAAAAAATTACATAGACTTGACAAAGACATGTCATTGTGATGGTGCTGACATGTTCATTAACATAAATATTTACTTTTGAGAGGTAAACTAAAGATTCTGGGAAAGTTAAGGGCTTTTGCAGGTAATTCATTGTGTGGTGCTGTTTGTACGAGTTGTTTCGAGAAATGCACTTGGGCCTACTGGTTTGCAAATATTATGAATGATTAAAAAAATGTACCAAAGTGACTGAGGAAAACTGTAAAAGTGAAAGAAAATCTAGGCTTTCAGTTTTGAGGGACTAATAATGCTAGGATAGCCATAGATTTCTATAAACTATACAATATGGACAAAAGTATTTGGACACCTGGCCATTACACCCACAGGAAGTTTCATAAAATTTTTGCCCATTCACCCAGAGGAGCATTTATGAGGTCAGGCACTGATGTTCGGCATGAAGTCCTGACTCGCAATCTCCGTTCTAGTTCATGCCAAAGGTGTTTGATGGGGGCCAGTCAAGTTCTTCCACATCAGACTCACCCAACCATGTCTTTTTTGACCTTGCTTTGTACACTGGGGCACAGTCATGCTGGAAGAGAAAAGGACTTTTTCTCGTAAAGATGGAAGCATTGAATTGTCCAAAATGCTATACTAAAACATTGAGTTCCCTTCACTGGAACTAAGGGGCGTAGCCCAATCCCTGAAAAACAGCCCTATACCATTACCTGACTCGTCCATCAGACTGCCAGAGAGAGAAGCATGATTCGTCACTCCTCGGAACACGTTTTCACTGCTCTAGAGTCCAGTGATAGTGTGCTTTACACCACTCCATCTGACGCTTGGCATTGCGCTTGGTGATGTGAGGCTTGCATGCAGCTGCTCGGCCATGGAAGCCCATTCCATGAAGCTCCCAGCGCACAGTTCTTGGGTTGAGGTTGATGCCAGAGAAATTTTGGAACTCTGCAGTTCCTGAGTCGACAGAGTGTTGGCGACATTTACACACTATGTGCCTAAGCCCTTGGTGACCCTCTGTTACTTTAGTTTCTGTTGTTCCTGAATGCTTCCACTTTGCAATAATACCACTTACAGCTGACCATGGAATATCTAGCAGGGTAGAAGTTATGTTTTTTTGAAGAGGTGGCATTCTATGACAGTGCCACACTTTAATTCCCTGAACTTCTCACAATGACCCATTCATTCACAAATGTTGGTTTGACCTGACTGCATGGCTAGGTACTTGATTTATTACTCTTATGACAATGGGTCTGAACGAAACACCTGCATTCAGGTGTGTCCACATAGTGTATGTGCCCTTCAGCCTTTCGGAGTATCCTAGCTTGTCTTTGCTTTAAACCATTTAGATTAATTTACTTTTGACTATTCCTGTATCTCAATATAATTGCTTTAGCCACATCATCTTACAAAATACAGTACATGATAATCAATTTTTTTTGTAGTCATATCATGCAAATTCAGTAAAGCTGAGTCATACTAAAACCCATGGCAATACTTTGTGATAAATATTGTGATATCTATAAAACAAAAAATTAGGTTGATTTGAAGAATTTACCTAAAATTAACTATAGCTGAATAGAACTTATTTACCGATAGACTGTCAAATAAATTGTTGGTGTGGCCATGAGTTGTGCCAACACAAAGCAGTGCCAATTAATGTGCTTTTACTCCGTACTGTCTCGTTTCCATACAGCAGAACAAAAATGTCTTTTGGTCACCTATTATTAATTGTATTTCTCCTCACTCATTTTTGTTAAATTTCTCACGAGTGCGCTACATTATTAGTGATGTCCAATTCATGAATGATTTGTTCTTTTGAACCGGCTCTTTCCAGTGCATCAGTTGAACTGGTTTTCAAATCTAAACAAATCACATTTTTCGTAGAACCACGCATTGTACAGGTCAAAATATTAATTTGTCAAATATTTTTAGATTTTTATAATTTGCCATATAAAAAAGAGCAACCTTTGTTTTTTAACTACACTTGCTTTTCATAGTCCTCCTGTAGCTATGTTGCCTTCAGTGCCCCTCCGTGTACCGTAATCCCTTGTATTTGCACTGTGTGCGTGCTTGGCTACGTGGTTTTTTTTTCCCCATACCGTAATCCATTGTTTGCACTGTGTGCGTGCTTGGCCACATGGTGCCTCTCCCCATACCGCAATCCCTTGTGTTTGTACTGTGTGCGTGCTCGGCCATGTGAAGCCTCTCCCCATACCATAATCTGCTGTTTGCACTGTGAGCGTGCTTTAACACGTGGTGCATCTCCCCATACCATAATCCCTTGTGTTTGTACTGTGTGCGTGCTCGGCCATGTGAAGCCTCTCCCCATACCATAATCTGCTGTTTGCACTGTGAGCGTGCTTCAACACGTGGTGCATCTCCCCATACCGTAATCCCTTGGGTTTGCACTGTGAGCGTGCTCGACCACATGGTGCATCTCCCCATACCGTAATCCCTTGGGTTTGCACTGTGAGCGTGCTCGACCACATGGTGCATCTCCCCATACCATAATCCATTGTTTGTACTGTGAGCGTGCTCGACCATGTGGTGCATCTCCCCNTGGTGCATCTCCCCATACCATAATCCATTGTTTGTACTGTGAGCGTGCTCGACCATGTGGTGCATCTCCCCTTACCATAATCCATTGTTTGCACTGTGAGCATGCTCGACCACGTGGTGCATCTCCCCATACCATAATCCATTGTTTGCACTGTGAGCATGCTCGACCACGTGGTGCATCTCCCCATACCATAATCCATTGTTTGCACTGTGAGTGTGCTTGCCACGTGATGCCTCTCCCCATCCTATAATCCGTTGTGTTTGTACTGTGAACGTACTTGTCCGCATGGTGCCTGTGGCTCACTAACTCCCGCTCGCTCATACTGGCTCATTCGGTCACTGACTCTCTGGTTCGACCAATTCACTGAAAAGAGCTGGGTCAAAAGAAGGATTGGTTCATGAATTAGACATCATTGCGGAGTTATTTGGCAATTGGCAAGTTAGTGGTATGTTCGGTTGAAGTGTTACTCGGCAAGACTTGTGAGACTCATAAGATCTGAAACTCACTGAGTGATCTATTCTGATTATGCCAAAAGTTTACTTGAGAATAAAAAATTGAATCAAACAAACTGGTTCTTTTATTCAAAAGAACAGTTCCATAGATTTGGTTCTGTAAATTGAAACCAACTCCCCATCACTGCTATCTGTGAGTGAATCAAATGGCAAGGATGAGAATGATCATGATTGGCTTGGAGAGTGCATGCAGAGCTTATGGAAGTACAATGGCGGTAAATTTTAGAGTGATTTTATTTGTTTATTTTTTTAAACAGTTACTTGTTTAATGTTGAAAAGGAACCATCAATAATATTGCAAAGCTTGCTAAATTATGATTCTATGACAGAGTAAAAATGTTTTAGTTTGTTTACGGTCTCAGCTCAGCTGACTGTCTCAATTCCTGCGATGTTACAACCACGTAATTTGCGATGTCTGTATTAACATTGCAAACCATGCTGGTCTAGTGTTTAAGACCGTGATGGCACAGTAGCTAATGCTGTTGCCTTTGCATTATATTTTATAATTTTCGTACAGGATGGGCCAAAAGTAGGTATGCAGTTGTTATTTTACAGAATTATTTTAAAAAATAGGTATACAGTTCTTATTTCACAATACAGATGTTTAGTCTTTTAGGGGTTCGAAATGTTCTACATCAACGTTGATACATTCCTCTATACCTACTTTACTTTGTAAAATAAAAACGGTATACCTACTTTTGGCCTACCCTGTATTTTATATCTATAAAAGATTTCATATACTGTATATGCCTTATTTTTTTTTTAAGATGTACTTGCATTTCATGCGCTTGTCTTACTTCTCAGATTGCGGTACCAAGGCTATTTCGGAGGGGTGACGGCCATGAGTAAGGAGCAGTTTAGCTACGTTAATGGGTTTTCAAACAAGTACTGGGGATGGGGAGGCGAGGATGACGATCTTCGTATTCGGTGAGACTGAATTCTTCTATACTTCACATGTATTGTTTAATAATGTATTATGTATGCGATGGCATTAATCATTCATGCAATCATTCATCATCTTTACATCGTTTAAATTGTTCCTTTTCGTGTGTGGCAAAGCCCTGATGCAAATTGATTTTTTATTTTTTTTTTTTAATTTAAGGTTTTATAGTTTTGCAGTTTGTAAGTTTGTGTCCGTTTTGTCCAATTAGGGTGGGGATCCAGAAAATGAAGGTTGTGCGGCCGCCTGCAGCAGTGGGTCGTTATACTATGATCTTTCATAAAAGAGACAGTGGAAATGCAGTGAATCGTAATCGGTAAGTATTGGTGGCAAACGCAAACATCCGGAAAATTTACAGACAATACACGTTTAATGTGTGCAGTAAAAAGAATATTTAGTTGGTTCTACCTGAGAAGTTTACAAATACACTGCCTGGCCAAGAAAGTCATACACTTTAATATTGGATCGTCTTTATCTTTGATTATGGCGCGCGTTCATTTTGGCATTGTTTCGTGGTGCTTATGCGACGTCTCAACATTTATTTTCATCCAGATTTGCATTAAGTTTGATCTTGTGTTGATGACGGGAGAGTACCGTCTTCTCTAGCACATCCCAAAGACTTTCAGTGGGGTTAAGTTCAGGACTCTCCTCACAATTCAAGCCCGATGAATCACGGCATTGTTGTCCTGGAATATGCCCATGCTGTCAGGGAAGAAAATAATCCATTGATGGGATAAGCAGGTCATTCAGTAGATTCAGGTGCTCAGCTGATTTCATTTTATTGCTGCATAATGTTGTTGAGCCGAGACCAGACCAATTGAAACGTGGATGTGCCCATCGCTTTAGAATAGGGTAAATCTGGAGTCGCCAGACCACCTGACCTTTTTCCATTGCTCCAGAATCCGATCTTTATGTGGCCAAGCAAATTGAAGTCATTACTTTTTCCAATTATCCTCACTAGCAAGTAGTTTTCTTGTGGCCGCACAGTTGTTTAGTCCCAGTCCTGTAATGCCTTGTCGCATCGTGCATGGAGATGCTCATACTTTTACTATTTAACATAGCTGTAATTTCAAATTTTTGAATGATCGTGAATGGCCATTCGTTAGTTTTTTTTTAATCTGACCATATTTCTCCCACAAAGTTAATGATTCACCACAATCCTTCCAGGTGTTAATAATGCATTGGACAGTTCTTAACACAATTCCAATACTTTCAACCGTCTCCTTAGTTGTTTGGTCAATAATTTGAAAGCAGTAACATCATACCCATGACCTCGGGATGCATCTTCACACATGGTAGCCTAAGAAATGAGAAGCTACACAATGAGTTACTCATGGGCTGTTATTCACCTTAATCCACAAAGGGCTACAAATGGCAATTGTACCTGTAGACTCCATAAAATGAGTAAAGTACCCAATTATCCCTGCTTCTATTACAGGTATAATTATGGAAGGTATAATTTTTGCATTTTCAGGAATAGGTTGTCATTTTCTAAATATACAGCACTGTGCAAAAGTCTTGGGCTGCCAAAGAAAATGTGTTTTAAATTCTATCTATGTGGTGTAAAACGATGACACATAGGCTTTTAAAAATGAAGGAAATTGTAGAAGTATTCTGTCCCGATAAACTGAGTTTTGATGAAATAGTCTATCTCAGTTTACACACTCTCTCTCTCTCTCTCTCTCTCTCTCTCTCTCTCTCTCTCTCTCTCATATACAGTCAAACTTCAGATTGCTAGTAACTTGGTTTGTGAGTGTTTTGCAAGATGAGCAAAATTTTTAAATAAATTTTAACTTGATAAACGAGCAAGGTCTTGCAATACGAGTATTATGTATACGCTTTGTCTGCCTAGTGTCACGTGATCACAACTGAGCCGATAGTTCTTCTCTCTCTCGCTGAGGGATTGTGGGTAATCATTTCCCATGCTCGGTCTCAGTCGGCATCTCTCACCCATATAGTCAAAATTTAGTAGACAAGTACCACCCGAATAAGGGCGTAGCAGTGCGAGTGATGAATCTGTTTAATGACAATGCAATGTACACATTTCCGCAAAATCGAAAAGGAGGCACAAGCAGCTGTCATTGGATGGGTTCCTTGTTAAAGTCGCACAAACAGAAAAAGATTCCAGTGAGCCAACAGATAGCAGTGATTCCGTTAGTTATAGTGAAAGTCTACAAAATAACCCTCCTCTTCTCCTCTCCCTCATCTCACACCATCCATGTAACGTGCAGGTTAATTTATGTATTTTTACTTTATATTTTGTATTAATCATTTTTAATGAATATTTTGGGTTGCTGAATGAATCATCTGAGTTTCCATTATTTCTAAAAGGAAAATTTGCTTTGTTATACGAGTGCTTTGGATTACGAGCACGTTTCTGGGACGAATTATGCTCGCAATCCGAGGTTTTACTGTGTGTTTGTGTGTCATATATAAAATATATAAAATACATCCATCCAATCCATTCATTATCTATACCGCTTTATCCATCTGGGTCGCTGGGATATATATATAGTTACAGTGGTACCTCAGAACTCAAACTTAATCTGTTCAGAACTCTGGATCGAATCCTAAAAAGTTTGAGATCTGATTGAATTTTCCCCATAGGAAATAATGTAAAACCAATTAATTGGTTCCCGGCCCCAAAAAATTACACCTAAATATGTTTTTTTAGCATTTAAACACAAAATGAACCGGATAAAACAAGAAGAGCATATACTGTACTAAACACATCTCTGCCCCGATCGTCCGCTCCTTCCGTGTGCCACGCCCCCTCGTTAACCCTGTATGGAATCCCCGTGTGATCTGCTGTTTCTGGTTGTCATCATGCTGCATTCCATTTGCCTCGGAATCTGATTTTCGAATTCCAAGATTACATCACATCCGCTAAAAACTCGAGAAGACCGAGTCGGATGCGTTCCATTTGCCACAGAAGTAGCAATACCATGGACCCATATGAAAAAGCAAGATTTTTTGCTTAGCCGGACAACCTGTCGGATTTAAGGTACCTCAGTTTAAATGGCCTTTATCTTTGTTCACTTACAATTAGCCCGAACTACCTTAAATCCGACAAATAATCTGACTAATCATGAAATCCAATTCTAGCCCGGTTAATTGGTAGCCATTCAATTCAATTCTTTTATTGTCATGTGTACAAGTACGAGTACCGTGTACAATGAAATGCTTGCTTGCATGTGCTCCTGCAGACAGTGAACATAGACAAGACAGATAAGACAACAGGATGACAAGTGAATGAATGATAAAGTGAATTATAAATAAGTAAATAAATAAGACCAAAATCACAGGAATAAATAGAGACAGACAGAAATAAATGTGTGTGTAGCAGTGGAGGTGACATAGGTTATTGATTGTTCATGAGTCTTATTGGAATTGTTAGCAATATCACTTAACACATTACGCATGGTGTTTCACGTATAAAACTCCGTAGCAACATGTCCACAGATAAGTTAGATGGTATAGTGTGTGCGACCCATTTAATGAGCCACAAATGAGAAGTAGTGCTTAAACAGAATAAAACTACAACTTTCCCTTCTGTTGATAAAGGGCGCAGCCATCTTGGATTCTGAACTTGGGAACGTCTGTGTTGTTCGAGATATTTCTCGGATCTCGGAGAAACGGGAGTGCGCATGTCGTCACTTCTGGCTTCAAAACTCTGAATCCGAGTTCTGAGGGCAAATGGAATGCAGCAAAAGCAATAAAAAAGGCCAAGAGGATGTTGGGGTATATCTCCAGGTGTGTGGAGTTTAAGTCAAGGGAGGTAATGCTAAGATTATACAATTCCTTGGTGAGACCTCACCTAGAATATTG